GCCATCCTTTCCCTGCCAGCTTCTTGGGTGGGTGCTGGCAGGAAACCCCTGGGGAGCAGCAGGGTTTGAATGTGGGTGAGTCATCTTCCTTTCCTAAGAGGGTCCTGATGGTGGGGCCCTAACGAGGAGCTGCTTCACCCCATGGCCATGCTGGGCTGGGAGTTGGGGTGGGGATGGGGGTGTCCCCCCCCCCCCCACGCACACCCTGGGTACCCCCAGCCCCAGAGGGGTGAGGAGGGGCTGGGCATTGCCTGGGCTCTGCAGCGGGGCACAGAAGAGCCCCTTCCCCAGTTGCCTGGACCCACAGATCCCCTTGTCCCCAAGATGATTTCCCTTGGCTCCCCTCGTCCCCCATAGCTCCCCACAGCTCGCTATGGGTCGTTGTAGCTCCCCTGCTCCCCACAACTCCTCTGGCTCCCCATGGCTCCACCTTTTCCAATAGTTTCCCTATATTTTCCCCGTTCCCCATGGCTTCTGACACCCCCCCTTACCCTCCCCTTTCCCCCTTTGTCTCCCCATCCCCACCACGGTCAGGGAACCACCTCACAAACCACGGGGTGCACCCATGGTGGCGGGGGGATGATGTCCCCACGCTGTGGTGGGCTAAGCCAGCTGCTCCCCCCACCCCAAACCCATGCACCTCCATTTTCAGACCCGGGAGGGCTCAGAGGGCCCCCAAACCTGCTGTGCACCCACACGGAGGGGTCTGGGTGCTGCAAGAGTGGCCTTAAGGCATCCCAAAAGCGATGGGATGCTATCGTAGTCCCCAACACCCTGAAATTATCCCTGTTGCCGAACTATGGTATTACACAGACAAAATACAAGGATTTAAAGAAATTAAGAGAAAATCCTGATGTTCCCCTCCTGTTCTCCCAGTTGCTTGGAACCGGTCAGGGAACCTCGAGGGCTGGGGAAATGGAGGACCCTCTACCCCAACGTCTCCCACTGCCCTGCTCAAATATAACCCCGTTCCCAAGTTCCCTCCCTCACCTGGGATGTGGATCCGACCCCCCCGGGGTGCGTTACCTCCTGCCCCAGCTGAAAGGGCGCGTTGGGGCCTTCAATGGAGGCAATCACCCCTCACACACGCACGCCTGTGGGGTGAGGTTCCCCCTTTTCTCAGACATTTTGGGGTTCTTCGGCTGCGTCTCTTCCCCGCATGAGGAGGAAGCGTTAGGGCAAATTTTGGGGTGATGCTGGGGTGAGGAATGTGGGATGTCCGCCCCGGGCGGGGAGTTGCCACGCCAGAGCCCCGCCGGCTTGAGAGTCACCCATTAGCGCCGTCGTCACGCACCCCGCTGTCACCTCCGGGACACCCTTGCCCCGTCCGGTTGGGTAAACTGAGGCACCGGGAAATGCTTTACCGGTGTCGCACCGGAAAGCCAGCACGGTGGCTCTGTGTTTGTGAGGCCTGGCCATCTGCCACGTCCCTGGTTTGTAATCCAAAG